ACTCTTGCTGCAGCATTTTGGATTAGCTGAAGGCTTTTCAGTGAGTTTTTAGGACTTCCTGATAATAATGAATTACAGTCGTCCAGCCTGGAAGTAATAAATGCATGAACTAGTTTTTCAGCGTCACTCTAAAACAGCTGCATGTTTATTTACTCCTGTTTTCTGGTTTTCGTTCCTCGGGTTACTTTGAACAAAAGGAGATATAAAAAAACAAACTTAAGTGTTGTGTTTTTGTGGCCTTAGGTGTCGAGGATGAGCGTCACTATTACTGAGCTGCAGACTCTTCTGCGACACAAAGACGACTCGTCCAGGGCCTACAGAGAGAGGACAGACACACAAGTAAGCTACGAGACAACAAACACCGGCTCCGAGGAATAATACACGATAAAAGGATTCTAACCTGAGATTGCAAAGTGAAATTGAAAAGACTTTACATGGTGACATTTGGTATGATGAAGCCTCGATGAGTATTCATTCATATTGATTGAACTGTGGTTTTCAGATTGCTCAGCTGGAGCAGCAGGTTGTGGAGAGCAGTGAGAGGCTGAGCAGTGCACAGCAGCAGCTCGCAGAGAAGCAGCAGAACATGGAGAAACTGGTGAGTGCGACTCCAAGCACAGTTTGAGCCTTTAGAAAGGAGCCAGATATTTCCCACAGTGGGCAGCAGTGTGCTCTTTCAAAGTCTGATCATGTTTGTGCGCAGTTTTCTGTTTCTTGGAGGAAAAACATGGACTTTGAACATGATTGCAGTGAAGGTAAAGAGTGCATGTCCAAACATACTTTTGTCCGTGTGCTCAGCAAGGAGAGCGGAGTGCAGAGAAAGCCTTTCTGGACCAGCAGCTGTCTTTGTTAGAGCAGCAGAGTCAGGAGAAGATGAGCCGCCTGGAGGACTGTGTCGCCTCTTTACAGAAGGACAAACAGACGCTACAGAACAGGCTGGTACGTTTCCTCAGTGCCGTTTGTTTTTACTTTGTTTGATAAACCAGTGTCTGATCTGTACCTGCAGACCCAGACTGAACATATGGAGTTTCCAAAAGAGGGATTAATCAGGTTTCCAGTCGTCAGTCCAATAACTGACGACGTGGGATATATTCACTCAGGCGCAGACTTTTGATGGGCGGAGCAATGATAATCATTTGATTTGAGCGTTTAGAATTTATACGTTTTGTCTGGAGGGAATATTTTATTTTATTGTTTGTTTTAGTGTTGCTATAGCTACTTCCTGGATTAATCATTTATTGAGATAAAAGACTTGATTCTGAACTTACTTTTTAAGTGACGTTTTTAGAGTGGAAATAAGCCCGTTTCTCTTTGTTTCCCTTTCCACCGTTGTGCGACATTTTGAAATGAATCGCTGCGTTTGGGCGCACTCTGAGGAGGGTGCAGTTGAAACAGCTGTTTTCTGTTGACTGCCTCTCTTAGATTCAACCAACATTATTAGCAAACTTATTCATGGGCAAATAAATAAATCACTCTCGTAAAAACTAGAGGTGGGAATCACCATACATCCCACGATACGATATTATCACAATACTTAACGCACGATACGATATTATTGCAATACTTAACGCACGATACGATATTATTGCAATTTTTTAAAATATTTTGCGATATTCAGATTCTGTACATAAAGGTAAACTTTATCAATATTCATTTTCTCTAATATCAAAGTCTC